TATGATGGCCATTCTCACCAGTGTGAAGTGGATCTCGTGATTGGAATTTGCATCTCTGATGGCTAATGATGCTGAGCACCTTTTCATCTGCCTCTGGGCCCTCTGTATGTCCTCCTTGGAGAAGTGTCTGTTCAAGTTCTTTGCCCATTTTTTAATTGGGTTCTTTGTCTTCCTGGAGTGGAGTCATGTGAGTTCTTTTTATATTTTGGAGACCAAACCCTTGTCCGAGGTATCATTTGCAAATATGTTTTCCCACATGTTTGGTTCTCTTTTTATTTTAGTGCTGTTTTCTTTAGCCATGCAGAAGCTTGTCATTTTGTTGAAGTCCCATTAGTTTATTCTTTCCTTTATGTCCCTTGCTCTAGGGAACATACCAGTGAAAATATTGCTGTATGGAATATTTGAGATTTTTCTGCCTATATTCTGTGCTAGGATTTTTATGCTGTCGTGACTTATATTTAAGTCTTTTATCCACTGTGTGTGGTTTAAGTTGGTGGTTGAGTTTCATTTTATTGCATGTAACTGTCCAGATCTTCCAACGCCTTGTATTGAAGAGCCTTCTGCCCACTTTGTCAAATATTAATTGACCATAGAGACTTGGGTTTATTTCCGGGCTCTATATTCTGTTCCATTTGTCTATGTGTCTGTTCTTATGCCAGTACCATGCCGTTTTGATTACAGTGGCCTTGTAATACAAATTAATGTCAGGTACTGTGATCCCTCCTACTTTGCTCTTCTTTCTCAAAATTGCTGCAGCTATTCAGGGTCATTTATGATTTCATATAAATTTTTGAAATGTTTGTTTTATATCTGTGAAATATGTCATTGGTGTTTTAATAGGGACTATGTTGAATCTATAAAATATTTTGGGTAATATGAACATTTTATTATACCACCTTTTTTTCCCTGCCCATTTGCTTGGAATATTTTTTCCAACTTTTTACTTTCAGTCTGAGTAGGTCTTTTGTTCTGAGATGGTTCTCTTGTAGGCAGCATATGTGTGGGTCATGTTTTCTTATCCATTCAGCTACCCTATGTCTTTTGATTGGAGCATTGAATCCATTTACATTGAAAGTTATTATTGATAGGCATTGTTCATTTTTCCTCTTTTGTACCTGTGTTCTTGTCTCTCTCACTCTTTTTCTTCCTCTGGTTATGGCAATCCCTTTAGCACATCTTGCAGGACTGTTTTGGTATAGGTGTATTCTTTCAGCTTTCTTTTTTTCTTGGAAACTCCTTACTTTGCCTTCCATTTTAATTGAGAGCCTTGTTGGGTAGAGTAGTCTTGGTTACAGGCCTTTGCTTTTCATTCTTGGAATACTTTATGCCATTCTTTCCTGGTCTGTGGTGTGTCTGTTGACAAATCAGCTGTTAGCCTTATTGGAGTTCCCTTGTATGTTACTTCTTGTGTCTCCCTTACTGCTTTTAAGATTCTGTCTTTGTCTTTAAATATTAGCATTTGAATTATGATGTGTCTTGGAGTAGGCCTCTTTGGGTTAATCTTGATTGGGACAGTCTGTGCCTCTAAACTGAGTGGCTTTTCCCCTCTCTGGGTTCAGGAAGCTTTCTGTCATTATTTTTTCAAACATGGTTTCTATCCCTTGTTCATTTTCTTCTCCTTCTGATATTACTATGATTCTAATGTTGTTGCATTTCATGGTGTCTTACAGTTCTCTTAAGCTATCTTCATATTTTTTTAGTCTTTTTTTGTGTGTGCAGCTGCTCTACCTGGATGTTTCTTCCTATCTTGTCTTCCATCTCACTAATTCAGTCATCTGATTCATCCAGCCTTCTTATAATACCTTTTAGGGTATTTTTTATTTCAGAAATTGTGTCCTTCATTTCCTCCTGGTTCTTGCTTATAGTTTCTATTTTCTTTTTCATACTGTTGTAGCTCCAACTCAGTTCTTTGTAGATGTCTGTGAGTTCCTTGAGCATCCTTATAATCATTCTTTTGAAATCTATATCTGATAGTCTGCTTGCCTCCATTTCATTTAGCTCTTAGTGGGGAGTCTTCCATTTCTTTTGATTATAGGTTCTTTCTTTGTCTCCCCATTTTACATCTCTTTTTATTTGTTTCTGTGATTTGATTCTTTGCTTTTCTAGCTGTCTTTGTAGAGTGGACTTCTGTGTTAGGAGTTCTATGGGACTCAGTGGTGTTATCTCTTTGATCTCTTTGTCTGGATGCTCCAGGGTTTCCCTTTCTTCCATTTGTGTAGGATCTCTCATTGTACTTGGGTTTTAACTATTGGTGGTTCATGTGTTGGTTGGTTCTCTCTTCCAGTGGGTTTACCTGTGTTCTCAACTCCCAACTTATCTTGTATGTGATCAATGGTAGGACAAAGGTGAAATAGAATAAGACAGCAAGAGAGTATTCTATGGAATTTAAATTACCAACAGGTACAGAACAAATAGGAAATTCTTTGGAAAATGACAGCAATAACCATAGTATTTCACCAAACTAGCCACTTTTTATAAAAGGTGAAGAAGAGATAAGACTCTTATTAGAGGGGAGAAAGAATGTGAACTGAATCCAGAAAACAGAGTGTTGTGCAAGGGTAGATGGTGAAATATAGTGAGAATAAGGGATAGAAGCTAGTCACAGTGTGTGAGAGAATAGAGTAATAAAGTAATAAGTAATAAATAAATAGTAATAAATAATATTACCACAATAGTAATAAAGCTCAGGAAGACAGTGAAGTGGGCCAAGACCAGGGAGAGGTGTCATGTAGGATTTATAATAATATGGAACAGTAATTATTTACAATCTTACAGGAACAACAATAATATGACAAGAAATATATGATTTGAATAAAAAGAATAGAAAATAAAATACCAAGAGTAGTGTGTTATTGGAATATGAGTGAAGTGTAAGAAGAAAAATTAAAATGCAATGTGAAAGGAAGAAGAAAACTAGCCAAACAATACAATTAAACAAAGAAAACTGAACAAAAAGAAAAGAAATAAAAAATAATAAAAGTAAATAAATAAAAATAATGAAAAATATAATAAACATTAAAAAATAAAATGCAAGTTCTGTAGGATAGCAAAGTGAAATTTGTCTCACTTTCCCAATTGATTAACACCTTGAGAGAGAGATCATTTGGGTAAAGCCTTCAGATTTCTTTCTGGATCTGTCTTTGGTTCTTTGTTTCTTTCATAGTTGCAGGTCTTATTGTCTCACAGTTGGGGGAAAAAAAGTCTCCTGCTGACTTTAAACCCACCAAGCATGTTCTGCTGGTCTTCCTGGGTGCTGCAGAGGGGGGACCAGTCTTCCCATTTTTCCTTTCCTGTGGTTTTGCGAGCATGGGGTCCAGGTCTGACCTGAAATATTCACAGGTGCCCAGCCTCCAGCCCAAGCCTTTGGAACTCTGCTTGGCTCTCATTGTCCATCTGAGCCAGGCTGGCACCTTTAATCTACCACATTGTGCCACCTGTGAGATGCACTGATTAGGAGCAACTCACACCCCTCCTCCTCCCTCTTTACTGGCCTGGATAGTGTGCACTCTCAAAGTTCTTTCAAGGCTGTTTAGTTCCCCTATTAAATTAAGTTTATCTGGGCACTGCTAACTCTCTGAGCCCTTGCTGCTCTCCTCTGATCAGCCCCTGTGGTGCCCCTCCTCCTCCCTCTTTTGCTGGCCCAGCTACTATATAGAAAAGGTCCTTGCACAGAGGCTGTGCACCATTTTTTCAAGTGAGTTTCCCTGGTTGTAGGCTGTTATTCTTAACTGGTGTCCAGCTTTTCACAAAGCTCAAATCTCTGACCAGTCCCAAGACTCTCTGGGTCATGGTCAGTTATAGGCCAATTCTTTTCCCATCTCCAGGTGTCTCCTTGTTCCCTGATTTCTCTGGTACTATTGAGCCAGTGACCACAGTCCAAGCTGGGGAACACCCCCTGCTGTGTGTCTCCCACTGTGTCTTTATCCCCCCAGCAACTTCAAGCATCCAGATCTCTTCTAGGTGGAACTGACTTCCCTGCTTTGGGAAGAGAGGGAGCTGCAAAGTTATAATTGCTGACCCAGCTCTCCTCCAAAGCTCCTATGGCAGCTGTGATCCCAGGTGCAGAGAGTGGGGACCTTCCCATCCAGCTTCCAAAATCTCCTAACCATCCCTTTTAAAGTATCTTCTGCAATCTTTGGCTTCCAACCTTCATATAAGCTGTGATTCTGTTTGCTGTTCACTCTGTTCTTCAGAAGATTGGCTAGGTTTCCCACTTGGGTGCATGAGCAAGTGGGTTAAGCTCCCACCTATCTCACCACTATCTTCCCGAAAACCGATTCTTTTCTTTTCCTAGTGTTTCCTCTTTTGTTTTTGATTGTTGAAGTCTATAGTAGCAAAATTATTTAAGATTTTCCCAAACTAAGTTTTTCATATTCTTTTTTTTTTATGTGTGATTACTGAAATCCTGTTCCTTTAGCTTGGTTCAACTGCTGTTTTGACAGAGATTTCCTTGAATGTCATAAACTAAAACAATAAAACAAAAAATTAAAAAAAAACTAAAATAGAAAAGAACCACATCTCCAATTATTTACCAATTGGCTCAGTGCTAACTGTTCTTTCACTGCTTTAATAAGCTTGCTTTGAGCCTAGAGTATGGCCACAGATGAAAGGTTAAAAAATCTTTGGAGGTCTTTTCTGAGCATACATTTTGTGTAACATGTGTGTATTAAGATTTCTTTATATACAATATTGCTTTTGCATGTTCAAATCTCCTAGAGTTTCATGTCAGTTTCTCTTTTGGGTTTCAATTTGTCTTTTGTGTGCCTTCACCCATTTACTCTAGAAGTCTGTGCATATGTAGTTCCCTTGTAGCTTTTTCAAGCACTCTGCTTTTTCTTCTACCAGCATTCTTAATTAAGCAAGATAGAGATGAACACCCACATCAGTTTTTTTTGGTGCCCCCTATTCAAGTTGGAACAAATATACATCACAGTTTATAAATAAAGTCTGCTCTACTTTCTCAGGTTTGAGGAGACAAGTTGAAATTGGGCTTCACTGCTAAAGATGAAGACTGTTGTCTCCTCAGGGAAGGAGTGGGTTAAGGGTGAGTAAATCAAATCACAACATTTTCATACCATTTTGGAGATGGCTTTTTAAAAATCATTAATGGAGGATATGTTTTTTTTTTTAATTTTAGAGAAAAAGTAAGAGAGAGAGAGAATGTGAGAGAAAAACGTCATCTGGTTGTCTCTCCAATGTGCCTAGACTAGGGATCAAACTCAACCTAGGTATGTGCCCTGACCAGAAATTGAACCCATAACCTTTTGGTGTAAGGGAGGCTTCTCTAGCCAACTGAACTATCAGACCAGGGCAGAGATGACTTTTTTAGATTGTGCATTTGCTTGGTTGCTCTAAATCTTTTACTATTTCCTAAAGCTCAGATGATATTAGCTCTGGCAGTTTCTGAGACTTTTAAATGTTTCTGTGGAGTAATAAGAGCTTGGAACCTTCTAGTCTGCAATTTTGCTGATGTCCTGCATGTGAACATATTTTAAAATCACTAAAATGATGCTATTAAAAGACAGACTATAGAAATAATAATCTACTTTATACTCTTTATAAGACACACTCTTCAATATAATAAAGCAGAAATGTTGAAAGTAAAAATATGAAAAAGTACATACCATGTAAACAGTAAGTTTAAGAATGGAGTGACTAGATTAATATCATAATATAGCAATGGCAAAAAAATATTGCCAAATGTAAGAAGGAATATTATAAGTGATAAAAGGGCTAGTTCTTCAAGATGCTATAGAATTATATATGAAGCAAAAATTGACAGAACTGAAAGAAGAAATGGGCGAATCCTCAATGGTAATATAAGTCATATACACCCCTTCCAATAACAGATAAAACAGACACAAAACAGTAAGTATACATTAAAATATAAGTGAACTGATTAACAGCTGTGGCCAATTAGCATATTAGAACATTTCATCCAACACCTGCAGAATACATTTTAAGAACTGTGTCAAATATGAAGTGATTTAGATTTTGCCTTATTTGCATGCAAAGAAGTAGCTTCCCACAGTTTTATGGTTGCTGGTAAAGGCAAGAGACTCCTGGATTGGAGGCCAAGAACTTTATTACTCAGAGGACACAAACATCCTCAGGTACAGGTTTAGATTAGGTCTGTTTGTCCCCAAACTCCCCTTGAGGTGATGCAGTCTGACTTTGGTGGATCTTGTAGTGAGTTTGCATCACAGGTGAGGAGCCTTGAACTTAGGAATACTCAGTCTTTTATCATGGGGTGAAACAAACCTGCCAAATTTTGCCCCATATGAAGACATTATCTTTATTATGATAGATGGAAAGTTAACCTGTCCTTTGCTCCAGATTGACACATCTTTATCTTCAAAGTCTGTTTTCTACGCAAGTACCCTTGAAATGATTAAAATGGCCACCAGTGTTTGTATTCACAAGACATGCAGAACCTGAAAGATCCATGGAAAATTTCCTATCAGTAAAACTTCTGTTTAAGTGCACAGGAAACAGTTACCAAAATAGGCCATAGGATGGGTCATACTAGGAGCTCCTACCCTTCACGACAGCATGGATGGAACTGGAGAACATAATGTTCAGTGAAATAAGCCAGGCAGTGAAAGACAAATACCACATGATCTCACCTATAAGTGTAACCTAATCACCAAAACAAATAAGCAGGCAAAATAGAGCCAGAGACACTGAAATAAAGAGCAAACTGACAGTGACCAGAGGGGAAGAGGGAGTGGGGTAATGGGGGAAAGACAGGGAAGGGTTGTCAAGGAACATGTATAAAGGACCCATGGGCAAAGCCAAAGGAAGGTAGGATTAAGGGTGGGAGGAAGGAGTTGGTGGGGGGAAAGATGTGGTGGGAAAATGGAGACAACTGTACTTGAACAACAATAAAAATAAATAAATTTTAGCAAATCTCAAAAAGCCCTAAAGCAGTCAAATCATACTGAGTTTGTTCACTGATCACGATGGTATTAAACTCAAAATTAAAAACAAAAATACCTCAAAAAACCACAAACTATTTGGAAATTAAGCAGTGTACTTCTAAATAAATTGTGAATAAAAATATCACATGGTAATTAGAAACTACTTCAAACTAAAAACAGGGAACACAGTATATTAGCATTTGTGGGATACAAAGAGATTCCTTTATTGCTCTAACTGCATATATTAGAATGAAAGGCAGTTAAACTTAGCGATCTGAACTTTCACTTCAAGAAGTTATAGAGTAGAATAAATAATGAAACACAAAGGCAGAAGAAAATAATAAACTTAAAGGTAGAAATCAATGAAAAACATAATAGATAATAGTAAGAAAGCTAAAGTGGGTTCTTTGAAAAGATTGATAAGATTAATAAATTCAGTCAGGTAAAACACTTCAGTCTCAGTTAAAGAGAGACTTTATTTGAAAGCATTATTACAAGAAGGGGGAAGGGAATATTGTAATAGGAGGAATCCTTTGACCATGATGAGATGGTCAGGCATCTCAAAGTTTAGGCAGAAAAAGGACTTTATTTAAATGGTAGAGTAAACAAGGCTACTCTTGTAATAGTAATTTAAGGAGGCAAGCATGATAGCTCAGGGTGAGGGTGGGTTAAAATGTAGTAGAATCCTGTGGAAGGGAAGAAAATTAAAGTTTCATTAATAATCATTTCATTCTAATAGATCAGTAGAAACAAAATCCTTTAAGCATTCTAAAGCAAATAATGACAATTTAGAATCTGTATTTGGCCTTGTCATTAAATAAATAAGGTGACACCATAAATTTTATATAAGTTATATGGGGAAGGATGATATGTTTCAGTAAGCCATTTTACAAAACACTAACAAGTTTAGAGAATTCTTAGTGATCACTGCTTTGGGAGTCTCCCCTCCTCTCGAATTTATTGGAATAGTTTGAGAAAGAGAGGTGTTCTTGGAATGTTTGGTAAAATTCACCTGTGAAGCCACCTAGTCCAGGGCTTCTGTCTGTTCGAAGGTTTTTGATTACTGCTTCAATTTCAGTAAGTGTAATCTGTCTATTTAAATGCTCTGACTCTTTATGATTTAGTTTAGGACGCTTGTATGTTTCTAGAATTTTATACATTTGGTCCAGTTTGTCCAGTTTGTTGGCATATAGCTGTAGTAATATTTTCTTACAACCCTTTGTACTTCTTTGGTGTCAGTTGTTATTTTTCCTCTTTCATTTCTGATTTTATTTATTTGGGTCCTCTCTCTTTTTATCTTGATGAGTCTGGTTAAAGGTTTGTCAATCTTGTTTATCTTTCCAAAGAACTGGCTCTTGGATTCATTGATCTTTTGTATTTTTTAGGACTCTATTTCATTTATTTCTGTTCTGATCTTTATTATTTCTTCCTTCTGCTCACTTTAGGCTCTGTTTGTTGTTCTTTTCCAATTTCCTTTAAGTGTAAAGTTAGATTTTTTAAGCTTTTTTCTTATTTTTTGGGGGGATAGGCCTGTAGTGCTATAGGTTTCCCTCTTAGGATTGCTTTTCCTATGTCCCACAGATTATGGGTTGTTGTGTCCTTATTTTCATTTGTTTCAAGGTATCTTCTGATTTCCTTTTTGATCTCATTGATCTATTCATTGTTTAATAACACATTATTTAGCTTCCATATCTTTGTGTATTTTGCAGTTTTCTTCTTGTGATTCATTTCTGGTTCCATAGAATAATGGTCAGAGAAGATGCTTGATATGATTTCAATCTTCTTAACTTTATTGGTACATATTTTGTGTCCTATCATGTGGTCTGTCCAAGAAAATGTTCCAAGTGTACTTGGAATGTATATTCTGATGCTTTGGATTAAATGGTATGTAGATATCAATTAAATCCATTTTATTTTGTGTGTCACTTAAGGCTGCTGTCTCCTTGTTGCTTTTCTGTCTGGAAGATCTATCCACTGAAGTCATTGGGGTGTTAAAATACCCTACTATGACTGTATTTCTGTCAATTTCTCCTTTTATGTACATTGAGATTTGCTTTACATAAACACACTTGCTCTCAAGGATGTGGAGAGAGGGGAACCATTTTGTACTCTTTGTGGGAATACAGACTGGTGCAGCCACTGTGGAAAGCAGTATTGAGATACCTCAAAAAATTAAAAATGGATCTGCCTTTTGACCCAATGATACCATTTCTGGGACTATATCCAAAGGAACCTAAAATTCCAATTTGAAAGGACATAAGCACCCCTATGTTCATTGCAGCTTTATTTATAATCAATTGCCAAGATATGGAAGCAGTCCAAGTGTCCATAAGTAGGTAAAACAACTATGGGACATTTATGCAGTGAAATACTACTTGGTTGAAAAAAGAAGAAAGTTTTACCCTCTGGGACAGAATGGATAGACCTAGAGAATATTATGCTAAGTGAAATAAAATAGAGAAAGGCAAATACCATATGATTTATTCATATGTGGAATATAATGAACAAACTATATTATCAAGGAAAATAGGCTCATAGCAGGATGACAGCTAATGGTGGAAGGGATGGGAGAAGTGGAGGAATTGAGAAAAAATGAAAAGGACTCATGGGCATGGGCAACAGTGAGGTGATTACTGGGAGTGTGGGGATATAAGGAGGCTAAATGGTAATGGAAAAATACAATAAAGATAAAAATAATAAAAAATAAAAAACATTGCTTTTCATATTTAGGTACTCCTATGTTGGTTGCATAAATGCTTTCTAAGATTATATCCTTTCATTGGATTGTTCCCTTTATCATTATGTAGTGTTCTTCTTTATCTCTTACAATGTATAGGCTTGGTTTTAAAGTCTATTTTGCCAGATATAAGTATTGCTACCCAGCTTTTTCTTTTACTAATAGCTCCCTTGTCCTACTCTTCTTCCCATAAAATTCTTTATTTTGTATACACACTCATAATGCTTTTCTAGTTGCTAGATATGATACTACCTGATTAATAAATCATTTAATAGAGCTAGTTAGATTTTCAAATATACTAGATGCAATTATGTTTTTTAACAAGTCAGTGACAATATTGGGGATTTATATTTAAATATCCCCCAATGTTACATTTTGTTTTATTAGGCCCACTTTGTAGTATGTAAATCACAGCTAATGTAGGTTAAATAATTTGCTTCAAAGACACACAATTTTAAGTGTTAGTGGTGAAATAGCACCAGAATGTTCCTGGTGATTTGACTTGAGTTCTGGCTAAGAAAGAATTTAGACCCAAGACTCAAATACAAGCAAAAGTTTATTTAGAAAATCATAGTGGTAGAAGAAGTGAGCCATGGAAGAATGAGCCAGTTGGAGTTTGTAAACTCAGGAAACAAATTACAAAAGCAAAAACATGGGGCTGTTTGAGCTTAGGAGAAAGACAGCGAAGAGATATGTCTAAATGAATAAGGCTCTGGGAGAGGGAGAGAGAAAGACAAAGGTCTTTTGTCCTGATGGCTTTCTATCACCTCTCTAATGTCAGGGATCTTAGGGGAGACCCCAGGGGAGGAGCTCAATGAAATACTTATCAGCTTTCCAAGTGTGTTCTTTCAGAGTTGAGATATCTATTGATTGGTTGGTGACAGAGTAGGGGGTCATTGGTTATTGCAGCTGGTCCTGATGTCAGCCATAGCATCACCTGGCATGGCTTTACTGCTTTTCTTGTACTGCAGCTGAAAGAAAACTGAGGCCTAGATGATATTTGTAATCTAACAAAAACTCTCTCTCAACAGAGCCAAGCCTGTTCTTCTAAGGTTGTTTGATGTGGGTCAGAAACTTACTGGTCTGAGGGCTTAATGCTTAAGAGAGTGATCATGCATGAACTTCTATGGGAGTCTTATGAGGCTATTTTCTGGCCTTCTTGTTTCTTCTCTAAGGGGGTCTACCACATGACTAACATGCCAGGGGAGGAAAAGTCAGGGAAGCATCTGAACCACATGATTAGCAATATGACAGGTCAGGAGGTCTAAACAACATGACCAGTGATATGCCAGGGTAGGAAAGGTCACCCTAGGGTCAAGGTCCTTGTTTTCACAGTTTTGCCCTTTGCTAGGTACCTGGGGATTTCTGCCCTGGTAATATTCCATACCTAGCCTATCATTCCTACTCTGCTCATGCCTGTATAACTGTCTGCTACATAAATAGTCCAACAGGTATTTTGACACTGGATAAGTAGATGTGGAAGTAAAAGGAATCTGTGACAGGTGGCCTGTGATATCTGAAAGATTATTCTGTTGGAGACAAAATGGTATCAGGTACTACACTGGTGGAGTTAGACTGACTTGGATTCAGCAACTTTGGTACTTGAGTTCTGGCTAAGAAAGAATTTAGAGTCAAGACTCAGACTATAAGAAACAGTTTATTTAGAAAGTCATAGAGGTAGAAAAAGTGAGTGGTAAAAGAAATGGTCTCAGGGAATAAGCTACAGAGGCAAAAGAAGGGGCCTTTCAAGCTTAAGAAGAAAGGGGGTGAGAGTAAAGTGTCTGGAGGGAAGAAGAAGGGGATGGGAAAGGCATAGGCATGGTCCCATGAGGGAGAACATGCTGGGTCCTCCATGCTAAGAGCTTTTAAAAGTTATTTTAGGGAAGCTTATAAGGGAGGATCTTAATAGAATATTCATCAGCTTTTCAGATGTATCTTTTTGAGGTTGTGGTCTCCACTGATTGGTTGGTGCCAGGGCAGGGGGTCATTAGTCAATGCAGGTGGTCCTGATATCAGCCATGGCATTGCTTGAATACATTTTGTTGCTTTTCTGGGCCTGGTGCTGAAACACAACTGAGGTCTAGACATACTTGATATGGGTCAGAATCTCATTTTCCTGGAAGGTTAATGCTCAGGAGCTAGTCTCTGGCTCCCTTGTTTGTTTTCTCTCTAAGGAGGTTTAACCCACATAACTGTTAGAGTGGACCTATGAGGGGAGTCTCTCTGTCACTGCTGATTCTTTGCCTGCCACCAGGTGTTAGGAACTGTGGCTCTCCATGGCATTTCCGTAAAAAGGAAAGGAACTATTTATTCAAAAGTTATAGAGATTTAGATTAATGGAGGAATGTCACTGTTAAAAATTCCCAAATCCCTTAAAATACCCACAAATGCACAAAGTCCTTCCTTCCCTTCTTTGCTCTTTCAGGTCAGTCAAGGGTACCATAGCTGAGGAAAAAATAGAAGTTTGTAGCTTGGCTAGACTCCCAATTCTTCCCAGTAATCCATGCTCAGCTGGCAGTTCCCAGTGCTATCAGCTATGTTGCTGAGATCACCAGTTCTTAATCCAAAACCATGTGGAACCTTCTCATGGCTGGCCAGCAAGAGTCCTTTCACCCCTTTTCTTCCTACAAGGTCTCACATTGTCCCATGTCCTGCATTGTCTCTCCTGCATTCTTTCAAACAGCTAAAAGGGAGCTCTACATGGATGCTACATCTTGCTTTCTTCTTTCCTAAAGTGCATGGCAAAGAGAGCCCCAAAACCACGTGGTTTGAACCTGCATGGTTGCTGCATCTGGGTTTAAATCCTGGCAGAAATTTTCCTCTGCAACACCATTTCTGACTCCTCCCACAATGGGCTACACCTACCAGCACCTCTGCATTGTCTGCCTTTCTTGGCTGCCATAGTAAGAGCAGGCATGGCCCTATGCTGTGGAGGGAACCATCTCCAAGCTCTCACATAGGCACTGTAAGAGGAGCTGACTCCCAGTAACATCACAAGTCAAAGTCATGCCCATCTCCTTAGCTAGCCTGCTGTTGACACGTAAAACAACCATTTTTGCATATCGTGTATAAAACTGGTCAGCTGTTGACATGCAAAATAATTCTCAATGGCTCTGTTCCATGTGTCCTATTCTCCAGTCTAGATTTGTGAAGGTGGGGATATCCTATATTTTTATATTTCCTGGATACCCCAAATTCTGGACCCTTTTCCAAATCCTTCATTTTGGGGGACCCTGGTTGTACCCTGTTATATAACTAGCAACATGGTAGGAGAGGAAAGGTCAGGGGAGAATCTGATCAATATGACCAGGGATATGAAAGGTCAGAGGGTCTAAACCACATGACCAGGGGTAATCTAGGGGAATAAAGATCACCCTGGAGGCAAGGCCCCTATTTCCCAGTTTTGCTCCCTGCTGGGCACTTGGGGCTTTCCATCCTGGTGAACTTCTCTACCTGGCCCATTGTCCTTGCTCTGCTCATATCTATCTAACTGCCTATCACAGTTCCATAATAAGACTAGCCCAGATCATTTAATCTTATTATAAAACATACAATGCAGATGGATGGACAGATGTTTAGAGAAGCCGATGTTTGCAAAGGAGAAGAAAAATTATGATAGTCATTGGGTGTAGGAGAGGCCAAGGAACCACTTCATTAGCAGGTGAGAAAAGAGGCCTTGCTGGACTCAGGTTTTACAAACTGTGGTTTGTCAACATATCTTAGTTCAGTTATTTTAATACTTAAATAAAAACTTTCTAACAGCCTAAAATTCTTAGGTATAACTTTTGGAAATATAAAAGTGTTTTATAAAGCTCTTTTGATTTCTCTTTGAAACACCAAAGTATAATGTAATCCTCTTGGCTTTAAAACTCACAACTATTCAATTCCTTCTACAGGTGATAAAAGCATGCAGCCTGGAGCATAAATGTGTGAAAAGAGATTAGGCAGTGTGTGAAAACACTTCCTTACCATCAGGCATTTGACAGCTCCTTTGAAATGCTAATGTAAGTCCTACTGAGTTATTATCTTGGAATTCACACCTATTCAATTCTACATCGAGGTAAATAAAGCATCTTCTAGTGAACACAAAAGTGTCAAGCCCAACTGAGGCACACTGTGAAAATCTTGGACTCAATCCATCTCAAGGAAGAAGGAAAAATACAATGGTCTTCTTCATCCAGTATCATTTATATTTATAAAAAAAATGAACTTGAAGGGTTTCCAGGGAGATAATTACTGATACAGGGTGCAGACAAGAGGTGGGGGGGGGGCCAAAAGGGATTTGGAATGAGGTCCAGAACTCAAGGTGTTTAGGAAATATTAGAAAGACATATAAAATGTCCTCACCCTTTCCCCCACAGGTGTGAGTTGGAGGAAGAGACACATGGAGCAGGAACATGCAGGGCTGTTTTGTATAGCCACAGCTTTACAGCTAATCCATGGCATGGTCTTTTAACATATCTATAGCATTTGGATAGTAGTTTAGATATGTTAAATAGCTGTGGCCAGGCTCTGAGCCAGGGGGATGGAAGGAACTTCCCTCCAAGATGTAACTGGGGGGCAGGTCCCCAGAGTTACAGGAGTTACAGCACCTGAGTGGAAGCTTGGAGAAGATTGGCTCCATGACATGGGCCACCCCTGCCCAGACTCATGATGGCAGCCCAGTAAACTTGGAATAATACAGGAAAGCTGGCAGGTATAACTGATTGTTGAAGGAGTCAGAAGTGGGGGTGCAGAGGAAGTTTGGCACAGGAATTTAAACCCAGACACTGCAGCCATTGAAGGAGAGCCACTTGCCTCTGGCAGAGTGGGAACCCCCACAGCTTTAGTAGGGGGAACCACCATGTGGCTTTAGCAGAGAATCACCACTCGGCTTTGCCAGAGTGGCAACCTCCCCCCTCCCCGCAGCTTTGCAGAGAGATCCACATGGTTTTGCCGGAGTGCAGACCCCTACAGCTTTGGTGGAGAGAAGAATCATTGTGGTTTGGGCCAGAGTAGAGACCCCTGCAACTATGGTAGAAGAGAACCACATGGCTTTGGGGTACTCCCTTTGGCCACATAGCCTAGGAAGCCTGAGACTTTGCCTGGAAGAAGGGTGAAAGAACTCTTGCCAGTAGGCCATGGGAAGGTGCCACATGGCTTTGGATTAATTGGAGATCCTGCTTGGATGGCGACACAACTGATGGTACCGGGAACCTGAAATATGGATGTTTGCTTCTTTTCCAGAGTTATGGTACCCCAAATTAGGACAGGGGGAGAAGGAAGCACTGTGGGCATCTGTGGGTATCCTAAAGGACTTTGATATTTTAATGAAGATGTTAGGTCACTACTTTAAGTCTGTATAGCTTTAAATAAACATTTCCTTTCCTTTTCACAAATCTCTGGCATTGAGAGTGTCTTTCCTATAAGGCGGCGGACATAACAAACCTGGGGAGTTCCTTTTGGTAATAGTATACTGTCCTCACCCCCCTTGGCCCCTTTGTTCTGTAACACTACCACTAATTCAGCACATACAACCACTAAAAAACAAAACAAAAAAAACAAACCCACAGGCCCAAAATAGTATCACTCATGCTCAAAGTCCATGATACCAAACCTAGGATTAATACATGACCTAAATGCAGTTTCAGTATCTTCCAGTAACATAATCTTAATCAATCAGTATGGAATTTTCTAGTCAAACACCAGTAAGGTTATCTGTCACATGGGCTCTCTAGATCCCCCATAAAAATAAAAAAAAAGGAGATAAGCTACATGAAAATAATCCTTCCTCTTCTCTTCTCCCAAAGAAAAAAAATGTCCTGGCCCCAAAATAATGTTTTATTTTTGTGCTAATGCCTCCCTCGTCTCACCCTTCTTGCCATAAAATCCTCCATTTCATATACCACTGCAGAATGCCCTTGTAGTTGCTGGCTGGGATGCTTTCTGATTCATGAATTATTTAATGTAGCCAATTAAATCTTCAAATATACTGCATTGAATTTTATTTTTGAACACTACAAGCCAGTGACAATGTTAGGGGATTTATATTTAAATATCTCCATAGCCCTGTATTTTATATTTTATTAGATACACTTAGCAATATGTAAATCACAGTTAACAGAGGTTAAATAAGTTGCATTAAAGGCACACAGCTTTTCATTAGTTCAGCAGGGATGCTGACATAAAAAATTGATATTGGTTGCCTTGAGGCAGGATAGTAAGAATCTAGGAAGATTCCATGACAAGTGACACGGAGAAACAGACAGATAGCTGAACAAGCCCAAGCAATTCACAGCCATCTAGTAAATTGCAAGGTCTTATCTTCTCTAACCAAGGACATGGAGGAGCAAATGGTTTATACATTCCAGACCAGCAGGGGCAGACCTGGCTCAGTCCCAGTCTCTCTTATGTGGCATTCATTGAAGGTGAAATGACAGGAGGATGACCCAATCCCTCTATGTGCTCATTTTGATGAATCAACATATTAAAGAACACATCTGGAAAACTGCTATTCTATTGAGATCCTCTCTTGAGATCTGTCATAAGAAACCCCACTGTTAGAAAACATATAAAAACTCTCAAGATAAAGGACCCAGTGTGCACTCTCTGTTGAGAGTGTCCCCTGCACCTTTCTACCCCTTCTTTTCTCAAGTGCCTATGTTTGCTTTCTTTCTCCTAAGCTCTAAATGTTACCAGGAGACTTGCAACCCTGGAGCAACTGGCAGCAGCAGCTTGTCCCTGGCTAACCCCATGAACCTGTTTCCAAGGGCCCTCTTTTTGTCACTGTAACTTGTTTCCTGAGTCCACACAGCCCATTTGGCTCATTTATTCTTCCTCTGTGATTTTCTTTCTAAAGGAACAAGGAAGACTCACCGTTGCTTGACTCTTCCTCACATTTTTGAAGGACCAAGATTGCTCTGCCTATGTTCACCCATTTTGCTATGATCTTGCCTCTTCTATCTTAAACCCTCCCTTTGTTTCACTATCCCCAGCTTTGATAAACATATTATCAAAATCACCTGGACCCTTGTTATCAAATCTTTCCTGCATGAAGCTAAGAACCTACATATATCAGATCATGCCAGAGCAGACCTGCCTTGATTCTGGTACCTTTCTTGTGATAGCCCAGTATCTCATGATCCTATTATAGAAAAATATTTTTCTATAGATTGCTTTGGGTAGTGTAGACATTTTAATGATGTTAATTCTTCCGATCTACGGACATGGTTTATGTTTCCATTTATTTGTATCTTTCTTAATTTCTTCCTTCTGTGTTCTGCAGTTTTCTGAGTATAGGTCTTTTAACTCCTTGGTTAAGTTTCTTCCTAGGTACTTTATTTTTCTTGTTACAATAGTGAATGGAATATTTCCTAGTTTCTGTTTCTGATATTTCATTGTTGATACACAAAAATGTCTTTAATTTCTGAATGTTGACTTTGTATCTTACCATTTTGCCAAATTCACTTATTACGTAAAGTCGTTTTTGGTGGAGTCTAAGGGTTTTCTATGTACACTATCACATCATCAGCAAACAATGACAGTTTTATTTACTCCTTTCCAATTTGGATGCCTTTTTTTTCTTGTCTGATTGCTGTGTCTAGGACTTCCAATACTATATTGAATAGAAGGGATGAAAGCGGACATCCGTGTCTCATTCTTGATCTTAGTGGGAAAGCTTTTGTTTTTGGCCATTGAGTATGATGTTGGCTGTAGGTTTCTCATATATGGCCTTCATTATGTTGAGGAATACTGCCTCTACTCCTACTTTGCTGAGTGTTTTTATCATAAATGGGAGCTATACTTTATAAAATGATTTTTCAGTATCTGTTGACATGATCATGTGATTTTTTCCTTTTGTTTATGTGATGTATTATATTTATTGATTTGTGAATATTGTACCATTCCTGCATCCTGGGGATGAATACCACTTGATCATGGTATGTGATCTTTTTAATGTGTTTCTGGATGTGGTTTGCTACCATACATTGAGAATGTGGGTATCTATGTTCATCAGTGATATTAGCCTGTAGTTTTCTTTCTTTGGTGTGTGTTTATCTGGTTTTGGAATTAGGATGATGCTGGCCCAATAAAAAGAGTTTGTAAGTCTTCCCTCTTCTTGGATTTTTTAGAATAGTTTGAGCAAGATAGGAGTTAGCTCTTTTCTAAGTGTTTTGTAAAATCATCCTGTGAAACCATGTAGTCCAGTGCTTTCATGTGTAGGGAGTTTTTTGATTACCCGTTCAATTTTACTAGCTGTTATCAGTTTATTCATGCTATTTGCTTGTTCTTGATTCTCTTTTGGAAGATTGTATGTTTCTAAAAAATTGTCAAATTCACCCAGATTTTCAAATGTCTTGGCATATAGTTAGTTCTTTGTAGTTATTTCTTACAATCCTTTGTATTTCTGTGGTATCAGTTGTAATCTCTCCTCTTGTATTTCTGGTTGGGTTTATTTGGGTCCTCTTTTTTTCTTGATGAGTCTTGCTAAAAGCTTGTCAATTTTGTTTATCTTTTCAAAGAACTGTATCCTGAATTTATTGATCCTTAGAGTTGTTCCTTTAGTCTGTATGTCATTTAATTCTGCTCTGATCTTGGTTATTTCCTTCCTTCTACTTGCTCTGGGCTATCTTTGTTGTTGTTCCTCAAGTTCTTACAGATGTAGGTTTAGGTTGTTTATTTGAAATGTTTCTATCTTTTTTTAGGTAGGCCTGCATTGCTATGAACTTCCCTCTCAGGATTACCTTTGCTGTGTTCCATAGGTTTTGGGCTGTTGTGCGTTCATTATCATATGTTTTCAGAAACTTTTTGATTTCTTCCTTTATCTCATTGTTAACCCACTCATTGTTTAATAACATGTTATTTAGTCTCCATGAATTTGACTGTTTTTGAATTTTTTCCTTTAGGTTTCTAGTTTCAAGCCATTGTTATCCAAGAAGGTGTTTCATATGATTTCAATTTTCTTGAATTTGTTGAGGCTTGTTTTGTGTCCTATTATGTGGTCTATCTTGAGACTGTT